ACAAAATCAAACGAAGTAAGAAACTACCTCTTTAAAAATTACGGATGTAATAATACTATAAGTTTTATTAACAATCCTGAAACAAGAAAAAAAATCCAAGTCTTTCCCGCCAATGTACTTTCAACGACACTCAACTCCTTTCCTTATGGTTTATAAATCTCATTTGTTACGAATTTTTAGTCCATTCAATATTAGTCCACTGCTTATGGACTGTAGAGAAGTATCCATAATGTGTGGGCTTATGCCATACGTAGAACCAACGCTGATTGGAAGATACAAGGCTGACATATTGCAATAAATCCGATTCAGGTATTAGGTTCATAAGTTATATTGAATTATAGCTCTATTCATTTGACTAACTTACCAGCGATATATTAATAAAGGACAAATACTGCGGACTAGATTCTATTAAACCTTTTTCTGTAAAGGAGCTTAGCTTATTTAAAATTAGCTAAGAGTCTGATAAAGTACCTATTATACATACTTCCATACAAATATTAAAAACTGTATGTCTGTTACGCTTGCACAGCCAAATCGCTGGTTCGATTAGGCTGAAATTTGACATAGATATGGTTTGAAGCTTAAAAAATAATAAATGTCACTTTCTACAATATGAATAATAATTCTAAATCCAAGCAAATGAATTTGATACTTATTCATAGCGATATTTTTCAATGTGCTTGTTAATTAAAATTCTATATCCATTTATTCAAAATAGGATGGAATAAACGCTGTTCAATTTAATAACACAATAGTTTTATATATTTATGGTTATAACTTATTACAGTTTTTTCTTTTTCTTTGAAATGTTAGATTTTATGATATTAGAAAAAGGTTAGATTAATTGGAGACTCTCGATTAACGAAGAACGAGAGGGACGTTATTACCGTTGTACTTGCTTCGCAGTTATTTTATAACAATATTACTGTAAAAATTCAAATGTAACTAATCCACCTACGTACCTGTCAAACATATTACATAACTTTGTATCGATATATCAATTAGCGCACATAAGGGGATTTTTTTCGTAAAAATCTTACTAGATTAGCTTCGATCAATTTTGACAGTTCTCGCACATAAACGTCAAGGTAACGCGATAACTGCACCTATGGGAAACCCAACTGGTTTACATTAACGGTCCGCTTCAGATAACCGATATTAAGGTAAGAACACATCACAACTATTATAATTAATTAAACTAAGGTACTTCTGCCTATAACGCCCACAAATTATGACAGATAAAGTGCTAAAAACCAACCCAATTATATTTAATTAACAGTATTGAGTTCCTTTTAGTCAGTCGATCGCAGGAAAGCAATCGAATCGTGTGCTACTTGGATATTAGCACACGAGCTTTCAAAAATGCGTGCTTTATTAGGCGACCATATTTAGCAATAATGAAAAACTATTTTTAACGACAATTAGTCAGAAATGTTGATTGTATTGTAAAACTTCAAATATTACGTGACATATGAAAGTAAATCTGGAATGAATATACAAACTTCTTATTCTAATGCTATTTATAAATAAATTATAACTAATATAAATGCTTTAATTAATTTTTGCTATTCTGTTGTATTTTGATACAAAAGAATAGCAAAAATTGCTTGTCGCTTGCGACATGAATGTAGAAACGCCCTTAATATCCCCACTTTGATTAAAACATATTGGACAATTTTCGTAAGAAGTCGCATTCAATCAACCTGCCTTGTATCAATAATATCAAGTATCATTTAGATTAAGTATGGCATTATTGTGATCAACGATCTCTTTAACATGATAGTTTAGAAAAACAGGAACCGATTAAATTGAAATGCATAAGCATTCTTTGGATTTCTGATATAACTTTAGTGTGTTATGCAAGGTTTTATAAATAATTGAGTAGATAAAAAATAGTAATCGTAACTTATTTTATACATAGAAACTTTTCAATGTATGTAATTCGACTAACATCTGTAAGTTTACCATAAAACGAATCCAATATTTATACACCTAATATGGCGTCAATGCAGACAAATCAGAAAGCGCCATCTTCGAATTTATGTCTTTACCAGAGGCAATAAATCCATTCATCGTCAAACACGGTTGCCGATCGCCATTATTGCATTTAATCTCGAATCTGGGTGTGGGATGTACAAGCAAAACTGCGAGTAAGGCTACCATATTTACACTGGAAGTAGTAATAATCCTCGGTGAGCCCAGAATTATAGAAACAAATGTTTCTATATGTATAAACGATGGTAATCGTCAATGAATTGTTTATTTCAAAATTATTAAACGTTTATTAGGTATTTGATAATCTGATGTAGAGTAATGCGGTATTCTCTAGTTAGTAGAGGTAACAGTTACAGAGTTAATTAAAAAAGCCCTTAATTTTTTCAGTTGTGCCTAATTAGGGATAGAACAATGCATTTAAGTATTGTATTGTAATATTATAAATCTCAATTTTATCCACCAATTAATAGGAATTACAAGTAACAAAGTTTTGTTAAGTATCAAAACCACTAAACGAAATGATTATTCAAATGTAAAATAACGAAACACACTCGAAAAAGTTCTGTCAATCCATGATTCAGATCCCTAGCGAACTAGGAGAACGGCAAAGAATTTTTGCACCTTTACTTTTTCTTCACTTTCGCCTTTTATTGCCATTAAAGAATGTAAAATGTTACCCTGGGGTCACAATGACATAACACAGTGGACAAAATATAATATCACAACAACATTTCACACAGCAACAAAGAGTTTCCTATTGTATAATCATCGAAAAGCAAAATACGCGATCTTTTGTTTTCTTCTATGAAAAAGTGTTTTTATGATTATCGAGCAAAACTGCTGATCAGATTTCAAAATTTTTATGCTTTCCTATAAAAAATATGGAAAATCGTGTAACTAAGTACCAAAAAAACATATAGACGACGTTATAAACTAAATTTTGTTTAATTTGTAATATGATATATATGAAATTTTTTTTTTTGGCTGTGCAAATGGCCAGTTTAAGTAAACACAGCAAGCAATAAAACAAAGATTTTTTTTATTTTTAACATTCCTTTTATCATAATCATTGTTATCTATTCTAATATAGTATTACAATGCTAAAGTGTAAGACACATTAAATGGAACAAAATTATCTTATAAAAAAACTAAAGTTATAATCATACGATGAAAAAAAGGTTTTTGTTTTCGAAGAATATTTAAGATGATATTTTATTTGACCACAAAGCAAATACACTTCGAAAGTATCACGAAAATTAAGGTCATAAAACGTAATACGGATAATTTGAATCCTATAAAAATAGTTTTTTTGTTTTACAAATAATAAAATTCTGAGTGGTATCATCAACATCAGCTTATTAATGTAGGGTTTTACTTTTTAGTTTAAATTCCAATAGAATATAGTAGATCTATGTTTTTAGTCATCTATACCTTATAATGCAACCTTTGTGATAAATTGTCTTACCTCCGCAATCCCAAATAGGGGAGGCCCTACCCACTCAAACTCCCTCACTCCCCGCTCATGCCAAGGGGAGTAATTAATAAAGAATCCCGTGCCCCTTCTATATCATCTATCTTGTTGACTCTTCGGTGTTCCATATGCTTAGGTGCTGCAAAGCATCCCCTAGACGGATGATTGCGGCCAGCGCTTTCCGTCTACCGTCAGGGTAGAGAAAGACACCACCCCTCTCGGAACCTCGCAAACTTATTAAATGTTCATAGTAATTAAATTTTAATTACTACGATCATTTAAATTAAAACAAAATCGCTTTCAATAAGATTTATATTCCAATCAGAAGAGGATATTACCAAGACTCCAAGAACTAATATAAAAAACTTTTAATAGCATTCCATTATATTCCCTTATATGATATCTTTCTCTTTGTGAATGGCTTAAGGTTCATTGTTCAAAGAGAACATGAAAAATAAAACCAAAATGAAATTCGTCAGGCTGTGACGTGCATATATCGCAATCTCAGAAAATTACTATAATTCAAACAAGGCCATGTGTGCTAAAAGAAATGTTTCTATACATAATGTTCCAATTTTCATATTTAAGTAGGTGTTTGAAGTCTGTACAGTTGAAATTTGGTAGAATATAGGTGACATTTCACACTAATGAATTTATGAAATTTCCAATTATAAAAAGCCCAGCTACGTGGGCCTAAAGTTGGCTGACTTTTAAGTTACTGTGCATTGTAAACACTAATACAATGATTAATGAGCCTATCTGGCCTTCCGTGTTGCTAAAATTTAGGGAAAAGGTGGGGAAACAAGTTGTTTATTTATTAGATTTTTAAATTACCGGAAAATCTATAAAAGATCTATGTTATGATTTCATGAAACATAGATCCAAATCTCGTTCAAAACTAACGGAATTGAATCTCTATCGCGATATGAAACTAAAATGGTCTTAAAGTAGTTATTACACTTTTTCGATCAGAATCTGTCGGCGTATTCCGACGGACCACCATGTCTTACCTTCCGGCGATACAAATCTAACTATTGAGTCATTATCACAATTTTACTTAACTGACTTTGAAGATTATTATTCACCAAATATATAATTATGCTGTATTAAAAACACTACTGCCACTTCCATGTGTTATTACACGGCTATTTGAATGTCTATCGTGTAAGACATGTAATCTGAAGTTAACCAATGAAAAAATGAATTATATACATGTTATAATACCAAAGATACAGATAAAGCTACGAAATTCGCGAAATTCAACGTAACACTTTGAGATAAAACTCGAATTAATATAAAAATGGTTTCCTCTTTTCCATTTGTATGTCTCAATGATTCCGTCAAAGAAACGAGATTTTTATATTATTGTTTTGATTAACTAGCCACAAGCAGTCTAACTAGTTTTTATATTATTGTTTAAATACTATACTAATTATACTATCTAAGAATATATGAATGGGATATATTTAATTAATTAGAAACAGGTCCCTAAACAGGATGAAGTAATTTAATATTGATAACTTCATATACTCACTGTGAGCGCTGTTGCCATCTGTGGTGCCGTTGACGGTGCCGTCTGGCATCAGCTGCAGATACCGATTCCTTAAAAACATCTGTATAGTGCGGGATGTGCCTGTGATATGGCTCAGGTTGGCAGACCGCTGCGCGCGCGGCTCTGGGGCAGGCGCCGCGGCGCACGACGCCAGCGCCAGCGCCGCGAGGAGCAGCCGCAGCGGGCGCGTGCGCGGTTGCATGGCGCGCCGCGCCCATTGCAGCCGCCCGGCCGCCGTCACTGCTCAACGCCCAGGCTCATTCCCCGCACTGAACACGCCGAACAGTCGCTATTGCTTCAACCTATTGGCGCCCAACGAGTCAATGGCGCCCAACGTGTCACTAATCCCTGAACTCGTCTTGCCACAAAAGCGTATCTTTTCTATGTTACTGTTACCACTCAACTTCGCTATCAGTTCGATTATGTCGTTTAATTCGAATCATCATTACATACATAGCTATTGCACCATTTTCTTTCGTTGGATTAAGTGTAGGTTTACGAAGCCACAAACAGTCGGTTTGTGGGCGAACACACGATCTGAAACAAATAAGTTTTGTTAGTGATACTCCGTGATCTACAAAACGCTCTGATTGTCAATTGATACATTTAAATATAGAATTTATCTCTGTAATGCTCTAAACATTAAGATTACAAAGTGTGATAATTATAAATATTCATTGGTTGAAGTTGCACTAATTTCAAATTCCCAGTTGATTATGGTAGGAAATTAATGTTTTCCGTAGCATTTTGGCTGGTCACGAGCCGTCGCATAACTTGAAAGGAATTGAGAAATCATAAACTGATACGGGCATCTGCAATGCCCCATGGATAGAATAGAATAAATCTATTTACACAACAATGATTTGCGCTTCACGCTTTAGGCTCAGTTAATCGATCTATGCAATACAATCCCTTAGGAATAGGATATAATACTGTGTAGGAATAAACAACTTATGATAGCTAACGTCCCGTTCTTAGATATTGCGTGATAGTGTAAGGTTATTTTTCATCAATAACCATAAATCAACTAACTTATTTTAGCTGCTCCAAAGTAAAAATGGTACATTCAATGAATTTAAAATATTTTATACAGTTACTATAAAATGACGTTGATACCTCATAGCTCATCAATAAACTTTCTGGCTCAATCTTGTTCTTCAATAGCGATCGCCATGTGTTTTTCTAATTTATAATCAAGTTATTCAAGTTCGTCCGCCGTGTAGGCTGACGTTAGACTATGACGCGTTCAAACATGTAGCACGAGCTTATTTGACATCAATTCACACTACATATGCTGGAAGTAACTAGCACTGAAGTTGTTGAGAAAGACTGATAGGTAAATAATGATACCTCTGCTAAATTAAAGTAAGGCCATTTATTTATTACTAGCTATTTCCCGTCACTTCCTGTAAGTAAAAGAATTTTTAAAATAGGTCCAATAGTTTCCGAGCATATTCAATGTAAAACAAATAACCAAATCTTTACTCTTCATAATTAGTACTGACCTCTTGCTATAAAAGTGTTATTTTAATCTCCAAATATAAATCTCAGAAATATATTTTAACATCCGTATGTTTAAGCTTTAAGCATGATATATTTCAAGATTTTTTTTTCGTTCAATGATTTGTCTACTTCAATAATTTCCATGAAATCCGTGTTGTAAAAATAAAGGCTAGAACTAGGAGTACAATAGATATTTGACAGATAGACAGTGAAGAAAGAGGAACATATATAATAAAAAACATTGAACTTCCTCCTTTTAAGCACGGTCAATAAACCCCACAATAGGGGTAATGACTAAAATATTTGGTAGATTATTGAAAAATACTAAACACGTATTTTTTTCACGTATAACGGTAAACATTGAGTTGAAAGGCCACGTGACGTCATACCTTTGTAAAATTTCTATGTGAACCCTTACTCCTTTACTTTATTTTATACTTTATAAGTCAAGACTTTATAAGTCATTCCTTGTTAACTATGAACATAAAAAAAATAATAATCTAATTCTTTTTTACTATCCCATTGATGTTTTATATAGAATTTAATTTTTTTACCCAGGTATCATCTCTATTGATAAACCCAAGATAGAAGATAACCTTTAAATACTGATTAACAAGAGAACCGTATCCAAGTGATATAAGTTACACTTGGCTACGTTTCTCTATGCTTCTCACCGACCGCTACCGATTTATTAATTTGTAGGTCGTTTCCACTTTCAAATTCAACCAGTGATAGCAATTAATCTCGCCGTTAACTGACTGAAAAAAAAAATCAAAGTAATTAAATGAATCACATACAATTACACGTGTTTAAAAAAATGTCAAAACATTATACGTGATCGGAACTTCGTAAGGTTATTAAATTATCATCTTACAATAATCTTTAGAAAACATTTCATGTATATTCATAATCCACTAGTTACACCACTAGCTCAACACATTTTTTCTAGTGGCAATCCTTTCATCTACTTTATAAATTTTTTTCTGTTGAATGGAATGTAATGTGTGTCTTTTTGGTAATAAATCGTTTATCTATCTATCTAGTTACCAATAAAATCCAGTAGTTTTAAAATAGTAGCACAAGAGTAGTTGGTGAAAAATAGTTTTTGTTGTTTTAACGTTTATACCTATCTGTTTCATTGAATGACTTGTTAGTTCATCTCGTTTTCTGTTTATCTTTTAGCGTAGTCTTATTCTAAGGGTTGAGCCACATCAGGAAGCATGATATCGCTTTTTCCGATGCCCTATTCTTTTTTGTCACTCGAACTACCATTCGCTAGTGCGAGAAAGATAGCGGGTGTCCGATAGCACGCCGCGGAATTCTTGAAGCGATATACGCTAACTTTCTCGTGCCACATATAGCTCAACTAAGAAAAAGAATTAGGAAAGATTAAAGACAGAATCGCATACACAGTAATACAACAAAATACTCGGTCAAAAAAGCACTGGCAATCCCGGACTAGAAAAAGTGCAGGGGAAGACCCCCGACCACGTGGTGGACAACCGTTACCAAAGATATGGAACGGACACAACTGAATACTTTGACAACCGTTAATCATGGTTAACCACCACGCGGACCTAGCAGCCTACCCACAGATTGCATCAGCTGCTTGATCTTGTGATTTAACTTGCATTTCAAAATGCAGAAGAATTGAAGGTAATGAATTTTCCACCTTTTCAATGACTAACCTTTTCTAAACTTGCCTAACATCCACAAACGAAGAACGAAATCTCTAACTGTTGCACCGTTGAAATTATCTGATATATTGATTATAAACTTCAATTATTAATACGTTTGAATACTGGTTTTTAAGTACATAAAATGACTAGTTTATGCCACTTAATTTCCATCGAATTGTTCATATGACACTTTGTTAGCATCAAAACGTAGAATTTATTTCCTTTTGCGAGCAATAATAATTTTAAAACACTTCTAAATATAAATACTGATTTTTAAGAGGAAAAATATTTATTTGTCCAAACAATATTTTATATTCGTTGTTTTTAATAAGAAAACCGTTCTTATTATGTTTTAACGGCTGAATCGGATAACTTTAATAAACCAATGAATGGTGTTTTGGGAACATATTTAGATTATCTCTACAGCTGTAATTATGAGCACATTATAACATCACTATCTTTAAATTTTAATAAGCTATTAGTAATAATATTTTCTCTGTCTTTCAATAAAGAAGTTATTACTTGAGAACTTAAGCAGATATTTATAATCAATAGACGAAAAATAAGAACTGATAATAGCTGATTACAATAATATTCTTACTATTAGCAGTTGTTACTTTTTTCAAAATCTTATTTTCTTTGTTATAATTTTACCTTTTACTCGACTATAGATACGGGTGTAAATGTTATTAGATACATTTATACATAAAATGAGAACTGCTTTTATCTCTATTTGTAAAAGATCTGCGGCCCTATAGCATACCTGTACACCTGTAACGCTTATTGATCTATCTTATTGATCTGTCAAATTGAAGCACTTCCACCAATCACGTTTGATTTGTCCAATCCCAGACTAATACTTAATACTAATTGGTCACCTGACAATTGATCTGTCTGCCCGACAAATTCAGTTTAAATTTCTGATTAACGGACAAATCTAGAATACACAATAATTACATCTGTAACTCTAGAATTAATATAAGGTATTTCCCAAATAAAACAACTTTTAATATCAATATTAATTTAAAAATGTCGCAGGCCTTTTACGGTTTACTGCAGTTTCCGTGGAATTTCTACGATATAATGTCGGACAACTTTCGTAATAAAAACTACGTATATTTAGGGTCAAGGTCATTGAATTAATTAACAGATAACATTCCTTTCTTATACTCGTTTCCGAATAAATACTACAATGTTGTTATTTACTTATTTCTTGACGTAGTCATCATCTACTATTAGCTATTTCATGAGCAAATTTTCTTAGGAATGTATCTTAGGGCCATCTCAGAACTTCTTACCTAACTGACTTACTTACCTAAGATAAAACTAAGTAAAAGAACATGGTAAAATCTTTTTAAATTAATTATTTTTATAAAAGGCTAAATCTGATTTCAGAAAGTCAAGTTATGCTTCATAATAACGACAAAGATGGTTAATATATTCAAAAACAAACAACAGCTTCAACCTCGAGGTTAAGCACAACCCTGTAATATAGGACCTTTATTACCTTTCGAATTTGATTGTACCACTATGTTTTTACAATGCTGCTTTTTTACACAAATGCTGAAATGTGTTTTGAGTATATATATATGTAAATTGTATGTAGGAGGAAAGTGAAATGCGATAACATGGTTATTCAATCACTCGACAAAAAAAAAATTTCTTTCACAAAAACCTTTTTTGCTTAGAAAACATGCCCATTATTACTGACTCATACAGTACTAATTATGACACCCAATTCATAACATTTCATAAATATTAAAATCGAGTGATGTAACAAGAATAATGACACTATACAACAATGTCTTATTACAATGACAGTTACAAATCGCTTAATTTTACTAACACGCTGTGTCATAAAAACTCCTTAATTAACGTAATAATTTTGTAAGTTCATTGAGCTCATT